ATTTATATATATATTTTGGAAAAATCTAATTCCAAAACTTTGTCTTTATTATTTTTAGAATTTATTTATATATAGTAAAAATATAAATTTTTGAAATTAATTATTTTTATTTCAAAATATTCTTAATTGTTTACAATTTTCTAGATATAATTTATAATTTATAAAATTTAGCATTGTTTTGTTTCTGACAAAATTTAAGTTTAGCATTTATTTAATTTTTAGAGTAATTTAAAAATGTCCATAATTTTTAAAAATATGAATATGGGGCTATTTACTAATTACTTTTACTGTTTTTGAGCACTTTTCACTCTTTCATATCTATTATATACAGAGATATTTGGCAAATTTCCTTTCCTTTAGTTATTTGTACAATAATACACGAATCCCACCTTACATTGAAAAAATGAATTTTGAAAAGTTTTGCAAATGTTTTGTAACTGAGTTTATTTCATGTCTACTATAAGAAAAAATTTGTATGCCACTAATACCAAAAAACGTCTATGTAGTCAATATCTTGATCCCCTCCTCCATTGAATACAGTGATGTACTTGTTGCAATCTATCTCTTCCATTGAACAGTACACATAATTAATAGACACCCTCAACATAAAATGACTTATACAATACATTAAATCCCACAATTTAATACAATATTAAATGTCACCAGAGCCACATATAATACTGCTTTCACATCTGCTTTATTGTAAATCAACACCAAATATTTTATTTAAATTTTCAGGTTTTCTTGTTCACATCCTCTTAGCTATCAAATTCATTGTGACAGAATCATGTCATAAATTCTCTGTTACAATGGAAGTACTTTTGTCACTGTAGAGGATGAGCTGGACTTTGTACCAAGGGTTTAAATGAAACATTTCATTTTTGATCTTTAAGAAAGCAGAGGACTGTATGTGTTGTAAAGACATTGGAGAAATGTATTGTCATCAGTGTGAAAAATTTTTTAAGTAGTGAAAAATTATTAATATTCTAGGTTCTCTAGTAAAAAAGAACATAATAATACAGTAGATCGTCAATTATCCAAATCAATTGGGGACTAGGGTTGTTCAGAAAATCGATTTTTCAGATAACCGATTATGTACAAAAAATATACAGTAGACCCCCCTATAACGCTTAGATACGTTCCACGCTAACCGAAAATTACGTTGTAGGAACAATTAAATACATGAGCCAATCGCAGCCCGATAGGTGGGAACTTTACGGACTAAGGATGTTTGAAAGGTTTTCTTCTATAAAATTAACCGATTCTAGACTAATTCCACTCAACATTTCCAAAACACGTATAATTTTTTGGGAATAATCCGTATAAACTATGCTATAAACAAAAAATTATAGGATTACTTACCGAGTGTGTACCGTTCGACTACGCCGTTGCTTAAAGCTGGTTTTCATCGCGGAACAGCACATGAAACGGCGGCCGCGATTTCTAATAACGAATTTTTCGCATAAAAATAACTTGACCTTTGGAGACATCATTAATATAAATAATTTTTATGGCCGTTGAATAAGAAGTGTTTCTTTCACAAGAAATGTATAAAATTAGTGCTGTATTAGACTTACGGTACCTAATTTACATACTGTACAGACGATAATAAACTCAACTTACTAGCCTAAAATCTCCGTAGCGTGTTGCCAGGCGGCAGAAAGCATATATATAATTATAATAAAGTTACAATAAATTAAGTTAATATATAATTATATATACAGTACCTAATTTATATATAATTAATATATAATTATATGTACAGTACCTAATTTATATATAATTTATATATAATACTAAACAGACGATAGCAAACTCAATTTAGCCGCTCCGTAGCGTGGCGCAGGGTCGGAGGTAAGTAGTTCGGCTGCTCATCCACTATTGGTCCAGACTCTATCAATCTTCTCGCGAAACGACGTTATAGGAGGTACGTTATACGAAAGTTTCTACAATTTTTTCGCTGCGTTATAGGAATTGTCGTTATAGGAACGTACGTTATAGGGGGGTCGACTGTATTAACCTATCCCATGTTGAAATTTATTCAAATACTGGCACGTCCTTAAGTATCCTCTCATGGTTGCACCAGTGCTGCCAGCTAAAACATGCACACCAACAAAAATAATGTTGGAGTAGCCCAAGACATAGCCAAAGATTGCAGTGCCATAGCACTAGTGGAAATTTAAATTTGCCAACTGGAAAGCTTTCGGTTAATTGATGTTTCAGTTGATCAATATTTGGATAATCGATGCTCTACTGTATTTGGATCTCAATCCAAACATTTTGTTTTTTTTTGTTTCTAAATTTATCACATTTACATAAATATATCCAAAGTGCTATTCATATAAAGAAATCTAGTTTTTGGGCTGCAAATTTCCATTGGCATACATCTATCTATCTATCTGTTCTTCCTTAATCTTGAGAACAAAGTTATATGGATGAAAGTCAATTCAATACCAGATATGAAAATCTTAGGGGATGGAGGCCCCAATTAACTATATATGAACTTCTGGTTATTTCAATTCAAAAATTTTTCCAGAATTGAGTTAGCCAGATGACTCTATTGCTAACAGGAAAAGTATGATGTGCAGGGGCATGACTATAAGGAGGATGTTCCCATATAGTCCATTTGAATTTTTCCAGTAAAGCCTTTGTGATGTTTGCTGAATGAGGTGTGGCATTGTGATGCAAAAGCTTTCTCACCATACACTTTGCTCAACTGACATTGAATTTCATTGAGGCTACACCCTTTTGTCCATAAGAAATAAGTTTCTGCATAAACTTCCAATTTGGACACTACATCCAAATGATACAACATCTTTTATGACTAAAAACTGATTAACCTCTGCAGCAAAATCAAAAAATCTGCTACACCTTGTAACCGGAAGTATTACCAATGTTGCCACCAGATTTCATCTAAATATCATTTATCAACAAAAAGTTCTTGCCAATTGCAACTTACTTTTTGACTCTCCCTTATAACATATTCAGACCAACAAGATGAAATGATGTCAATTTTAATTGTATTAATTATTAATTAGCATTTTTAATAAAGTTATGATCATTCTTCATTTGTAACAATGTTTTGTTATTTATTATAAAGCAATTATAAAATAAATTTGAAAATTTTTTGTGTAAATGAGTTTTAAAAATGAGTTTGAGATGAGATTTATAAATTTATGTACTATACTGATTATTATTGCAGGTTACAAGCAAAAGATACAAAATCTAGTATATCGTTATCTTATGAGGCATCCAAATCTAAATGAAACACTTCCAAATGCAAAAGATCCTCTAGACTTTATATTAAAAGCACAAGTAAGTTACTTTTTAAGAATTTTATATGTTAAAATATTAAAATTTATATTAATTTTTTAGTTGTTTGTGTAACAGAAATCTATCATAAAATTTTAGAAAAATTTGAAATATATACATTATCAGTTGTATTTTATTACTTTATTAAAAACAATGTCACATTGTCCTTTGTTATAATGATTTTTTCTTCATCTTCATAAAACAGTCTCCATTAAAATAATAGTAGCCACATCCACGTTTGTAATATGAATTGAATCCTTGATTTGAATTGAAGACATTAGTTTAAGAAATTCTGCTAAATTGGCAGAACTTATTATTTAATATTCTATTGTAAATATTGTTAAATCATTATTACATTCATCTTATTTACTGTAAGGCAATAACTTGTTTACTATTTTTAACAAACATTTACTTATAATATGTTTAACCATATAGAGTGCATTCTTGCAAATCTGAAGTCTGTTTAACTCAATTTTATTCATGTTTTCTCTAAATATTTTGGTTGAAAACAAAAAGAAATCATAAATTATTTTTAAAAATAAAGAAAATTTGTAAAATTAATATATACTACACATTTTAGCCTAAATATATCTACTATACAGTACAATTACAGTATAAAAAGGTTTTTTAAGTATATGTATTTGACTGTTGCCTTTTTTTGACTTCCTATTCTTTACATGAAAAATTATTAATCCAAACATGTTGTACAGTAATTAGCTTTGATTAGCAAGAATATATCATAATAAAGTTTAATCAGTTTATATAGAAGAAATCAAAAGGAAATTAAAAACAAGGATTAAGGAACAAATAAGTGATTTAAAATACAATAGAGTGATATCAGCCTTCCTTAAGAAATGCGCTTTAAATAATTGTAAAGTAAATAATAAAACAATCAAAATATTAGATCACAAAAAAATCCTTTCTGACAAAAATTTAAGGAGAGTTATTACATAAAAAAAATAAAAAATTATAATAAATAAAATTATTGGCTCATCCTGTAGATGCTGAGATGGTTTATTGTAGGGAAAATTTAAAGAGTGGCTTAAAAGACTTTTAAGAGATATTGTAAAGTATTTAGGTTAAAGAGAGTTGCTAGTGTATATTTAAAGTAAGTGAATTAAACTGGGTTTATTTAGTTCTTTGGTTTTAAGGTTATAAAAGAGGATCTTTCCTTTTTTATTTTATTTATTATAATTTTTGGTATTTCAGAAAGTTTTATGAAATTTTTTAAAGTTTAAATGTTTAATTTTAATTTTAATTATGGAACTGCTTAGTTGTTCTATGGTTTTAAAACTTTATCATAGGGAATTTTGAAAACCTAACTTATTTTAGATTTAAAAGTATTCTTCTACAATAAACATTGTCAGAAGGGATAGATATAACTGTATTCAGATTAATAGATTGTTTAATATAAATTATGAATGTTATGAATAATGTAAGAATTTTCAGTTCTGATTTTAATTTGATTAAATTGTAACAGCTGCCTGTATGGATCTTAAACTTCTTTCTACAAAAGATGCTATAAATAGGGGGATATATGCAGCTATGTTAGGTCAGTAAAATTTTAAAGTAAAATACTTTGTAGTAAACACATATAATAGTATAAATGTCTGATTTTATAGAGATTAATGATGGAAGAAGAATGCTACATGCACTCAAAATGAATATCGTTATTGTAGAAAAAATAAAGAATATCATAATATAGTTATTTTATTTATATCAATATGTAGATTTTATATTAATATCGGCCAAATTAAAATGAATAAATTGAAAAACAATTTAATATTTTATTAAAATCTGGAAAAAGGGATCAATCTAGAGTAGATTTGAATCTACAACTTCTGCAAAATTTAATTCAAAATTAATGTAATTAAATTTAGCAGAAGATAGCATCTTAATTGCATATCTTCAGACCAAATTGATTTATAACTTAAAAAATTATTAAAAAAAAAATATAACATTATATTTATTCTTAATATGCCAGAAACATAAACACACAAAAATATTATAGTTGATATAATTATTTGCTAACTTTTAACATAAAAGTATATTTATTCTGAAGTTAACTGAACTGATTTTTATTAATATTTTAATTTTCAATTCTTTTACTAAAGAGATTAGAAAAATTATTAATAAATAATTGTCCTGTTCTCTTGTAGGGTGCTTGTAGGGTGAAACAGTTACAAAAACCTCTATTCTAAAAACTCAATTTATTAAGTTTATAGCCAAACATCCATCTATCACTATAGTTAATTTTCAATAATTCATAAATGTATAAAACATATTTTATCAAGTAATTATGTATAATTTTATAATTAATATATCTAGATAATTAGTTTAGATAGATAGTTATAGTAGAACAAATTTTAATTTGCATGTATAAGAAAAATTGTACATTTAAGTTCAATTATTTTAATAGAATTACTTTCACTTAATTTTTACATTATTTTTTAACATTTCCTGATGCATCTAGGAATCCTGTCTAATGTATCAAGAATATAAAAAAAGTGTTTTGCAAAATTAAGTGACAGTAAATTAAAATTAAAAATTATGACTTATTAACTATATCGCAGCAATGTGCGACGGGTAAGCTAGTCACTACTAGAAAACAGTTCAATCACAGACTCATAGAACTCTTATTTTTCCTTTACTTTACAATTTTCAAGTTTTCTCAGTTGTAACTTTCAATTGATATGATAATTCAATTTATTATGCTATTTATTATTAAAATTGTATTATTAAAATACAATTTTTTATTAAAATTGTATATATGTTATTTTTTCAAGAATTTTTACAGCTAGCTGTTTCAATTTATTATGTGTATGTTACCATAATTTTGAACAGCAGTTTATATGGGAGTGTCATACCTTTTGTCACAAGTACAAAATTTTGTTCTGCACCACTATTTTTACATATTATTGTTTAAAATAATATAGTATTGTTGTTTTTATTCTTTTAAACTGTTTGAATTCAATATAGCAGCATTGAAGCTAGATTAAGTTTGTCTGACAACAAAGATGATAAAATACTTCATTTCTGTTTTCGTGATTTGGTTGAATTAGAAAATAAATTAGAAGTAAATTGCTGAACATTTTTAGAAAATGTTCTTTAGAAATGGAAAAGTTAGAAAGTTTAAGAAAGTATTTTTACATGTTAAATGAGTATGCAATTTATATTCTGGCTTTATTGTGATTTTTATAAGTTAAAATTTAAAAATTTCTGTATATCTTGTCTACTTGGATTGTGCACAAGATATACACAGAAATTTAAAAGAGTAAGGACATAGAGGTAAAAAGAATTAAAATTTACAAATGTTTACAGCAATATTAACATTTGTAAATTTTAAGTTTGTAAGTTGGCCAATAATTGAAAACTGTACATATGTTAATTGATATTAATATAAAATAATGATGTCAACAATAACTTTTATTTATGTGAAAATACATAGCCAAAGTTATATTTTTAAATCAATATGTTATATTAATGAGTATGTTCAGAATGTTTATTGGATGGTTGAGTGGTTAAGGTGGAAACCTACTGCTCAAGGACCTAGGATTGAATCTGATGGGTTATTAGTTAAACCTAGGAATTTTTCAGGGAGTGGTGTTCCTGATATACTGGGTATTTCCAATCCAGCCAGCCAATTGTGGGCCTGGCTAAACCCATAGTGAGCTTGTTAAAAAGGTCCTCTTAGTGCTCACAGGGTGGAAAGAGTTTTAAAAAGAAGTATTTTAAGAATAGAATGATTTAACATTATAGACCTAACATTGAAAGAAAATTTGAATTAATTTTATAAAAATTTAATCTTTCAGAGTAACTGGGAAAGACGGATGTATAAAAGTCTTAATAACATGTGCAATGAATTAGGAATTGCATTATCAAGAAAGGTGAGTTAAAATTTTTAATATTTCTATTTTCTATTTTATCTTTAATTTGATTTATTTTTGATAAAGTTTTTATTTAAATAAAACACACAAGTGAAATTTTAATAAAATGAACCTGTAATAATGAATCATTTTCTTGTATTTATTGATAACAAATTGTGTAAAAGAAATCTCATTTTATCAGTCAATTATCTAGTATGACAAATATTATTTTATTGCCATATTTAAAACTTCTTTACTGTAGATAGGTATAGATCAGTTACTTTGGTAAAATTTGTGTAAGTTTGGGTAATTTCAGGCTTAATGATATGTTTGGTTATACTGCAGTGTAAGAACAAGTGTATAGTGAGAATACTTTGTAGTTTTTCTGTCACTTGTATTTTTATTTGCTATTGCAATTTTTTACAGTTATTACAAAGTTAATACCATGTTTACACTATCATTAAAATGAACAAAAAAGATTAAGTTATAATATTGGTTGATGTTTAAAGCAAATTGAATAATTTTGATAAAAGTAGACACTAGGAAGATGAAAACAATTGTGCAAGAAAATTTTGATATTGCCCTTTGACATTTTCTACAACTTTAAATTGGACTGTCATTAACTGATGATAAAATTTTATTTCTAGCAGTTTTGGACAACCTGAGAAAAATTAGTGCATATTTATGACCCAGAAAATATTTTTTCAATGGTTTAATAGTGTTGAAAGCTTTATTTTTAATAATGCTATTAAAAATATGACAATCAAAAATACTACACTCCTATCCAACAAATAAATTTTTATAATGATTAGTAGCATTTGTATGATTATTTTCAAATAAGAAATGCTTATAACTGTTTTTTCTTTATCTGTTACAACAAAATAAGTTGTGTGCTTCTAGAGATTTGTTATAATGAGATTTAATCTGTGTAATTATAATTATTTGTTAATATACAGACCATGATGTATATACATATCACAATATATGTTTTAAAATACATAATTATCTTTGTTTTGATTCAAAATAAAAAAATTGTTTACTTATTTTTAATTAGAATAATTTTAATTCTATAATTTAGAAATTAATGCTTTCTTTAACAAACTTATCTTTATAAAGTTAATGTTATATTTTAGAGGCCAGTTTCTGAACAAAAAGAATTAGAGGCAAAATGGACTGAGTTAGGAACTGAAGATATGGGTAATTTCTAAAATTATTTTTGTATTTTGTTAAATTTAATTTTTGTTATAATGATATATTTAGGAATAAGTAGATGAGACTAAAAATGATGGTGATGCTGTAATTGAAAGTTTGATTTGTAATTTAACAGTAACTGCAAATTAACTAGATTTTGTGGGAAATTGTGTTTATTATATTTATTATATATTGAAATATTTGTCTGATAATATTTTGTGCTTCAATGAGCTCGCTACTCATAATAGGGTCTTTCGCAGAATGCTTTTGTAGGGCCTGAACTAGTTATATTGGTATAACTTATAAGTTAATACCTTTTTTAGAGCTACTGAAGATTGGACTACCTCTAATCCTTCTAAGTAATGGAGATTAACTCTTAGTTTAAACTTTAAAGCATAGCAACACTCTTTTGCCTAAGCTACTCTCTGGATTTCCTGTCGTTTGAAGGAATCATGTTTATTTTTTGGTTGACATGGTGACTAGTTTGGTCACTTTTATAAACATCTATGCTGACTGAAACTCTTCTCTTCAACCTCCACAGATCCACAAAAGTGACTTTTGTGAATCTGCAGAGCCTTCTTTGCATCGTGTTTGTGAATGTACAAATCTCTGCTCAAGTAGACTTGTTCATCTGGGTTATAACTTGAGTTCTGGTGAAGTCTGTCAGCTTTCTTTCAGAAGTCTGTTATCTTTTTTTTTAAAGGGATTGAACTTCTGAAATAATCTTTCATGAATGCATAATGGTCTTTTTAGGTCAAAGTGCACTTAGCTTATTGTCCCTCAGTTATAAAATCTACAGTCATCTTATTAATCTCATGTGATTAAATAAACATAGTTAAGCTATGTACAATTATTAATTATAATATGTATATTCAATGCTGTTTTCACTTAGAATGGACTGTTATAACATACCAGCTTATAGTATAAAAAGTATTGATAACTGTTACGTAGTACTGGCAGTTACTTAGTATATATTCAGTCACCATATATGCATACTGGCAGTAATTCATTTATAAAAGGAGTACTGTGTATATTAGATATAATTATTAAATTCTAATTAAATATTTCAGATTGACTATCAAAAATTTTACACAATTTATACCAATTTATTATACAGGGTGAACCAAAAGTAGGTGGACATTAGGTAAAATAGGGTTTGTGTTCGGGTTATACTATAACAATGGTGTATATTTAATTTGGTTATGTTATGGTTGAAAAATTGCATCAGAGATGCATTTCAAGAAATTAATACACAAAGATACTTGTGCAAAAATGTTTGTCAAAGCATGAAATGGTGAAATGTACACTTCAAAGCTGTGTAAATTATGATGGACAGCAGTTTGAGCACCCTGCATTGATAAAATTGTATTGTATTGAATTAGTAAGTATAATTGTATATGTAATCTCAAGATTTATATATATATATGTGTAATCTCAATAAATGTTATAATTTACTGTCTACCTACTTTTTGGTTCACCATTGTATTTAAAGATACTATCAAATTGTTTATTAAGCTTAGAATTGTACAGTTCATACTAATTTACAGTTTACTTGAAATTTATTTAAAATGGNTGATAAAGAAATATATTTTTCCAATATATCATTCTTAACAACATGTATTTTTTTAAATTTCAATAAAGAAAATAAATAGCGGTTTGCACAGTATGCTTTTTGATTATTCATTTATTTATTATTTTTAATTGTCAGTTATGATTTTCAAAATTAAAGAAATCGTTAATCATCAAAAGTTTCAGTATATTATGAATAGATTCTGAAGATGACTTATTCCAATAAAAAGACTAAAGACTTTTGCCTACCTATGTGAAGACAATATCAAGACAAATTATGATTCCTGGCATCATTACATTTATATAATATATAATGATGCCAGAAGTAGATAATCACTTGTCTTGATTTTAATTAACATATCAATTTTTTTATTTAAAAAATCTTGAAATAGTGTGATATGGACTGTTCATTAAATTACGTGACACAGAAATAGATGGGTGGGTATGCAGATAATTGTTACGATGCGTTACAAGAGGATGGAGGTGTTTACAAAAACGTTACGTAGTATTAGGATCGTAACCTTCGGGTAACAGAATAATTCATTTTATTTCTGAAGTGTTGCATGATAAAGCGTGCTGTTTATGTCACTGTTTTGTACGTTACTTTACTTGTTCTTAAATGTAAATGTAACACTTCATGTTATGTATTATTCCTTAGTACAATTAATTAAGATCGAAAATATGCATTAACGTAATTTCGGGTATATGTGACAGCATTACGGAGCGTCACAGGGAAATGATAGTTAAAAAGTATGAACATAGTATTATGTAATTTATGAATAATCCCATTTAAAGATTAAAATGCATTAACGTAATTTCGGGTATATGTGACAGCATTACGGAGCGTCACAGGGAAATGATAGTTAAAAAGTATAAAAATAGTATTATGTAATTTATGAATATAATGGTTTTTCATACATGATTCTTTATTGAATGAACTTTTTTTAAGATTGAAACATTGATAAATATTGAGTATGGTGACAAAACTAACACATCATCCATAAATTATGTAATGCTATTTTTATACTTTTCAACTATCCTATTGAACCTGTAATGCTTCATAATACTGTCCCAAAATTAGGTAATTCATATCCTTGATCGACTCCCTCAACTGTACTAAGGAATAATTCACAGCATGGGATATTGACTGTTACATTATTTTATTAATTACATGTAGAATATGTGTTATGTTATTGCTTTATACATTTACTATATAATTTACAAAGCAGGTAGAATAAACATTACAGTGATTTGATCTCTGACTAGACCGAGGCCTACCAGGTTAACACACACAATTAGTCGGCTTACAAAATATCACTTTATTTAATAAGGGTTCCATGATCAACTACTGAGGGCTCATGTGAACTCTCGGAAAAAAATTCTCATTACACAGTCATGTGTCCCGAATACAAATATCCCTCATCCTTTCACTCTCCTTCTCCCTTTTCATGTAGCATAACAACGGTTGTAACTAGTTTACAATAACACGTAAATATTTTTCAGAACAGTCTACTCACTGGAACTCTGGCACTTAAACAACCAGGAATCAGACCAACAGCTATTGCACGTGGGGAAAATCTTTGCTTCCATCGATACCTCAGTTACTCTCTCTTCCTTAATTGTTCCGTCCACACTATTATTCCCGTGTACACGACGCTTGAAATTTTATTCTATCTCCCTTCTCTCGATGTTCGAACGAATCTTCCTCTTCACTCCGGTTGGTTCTGACCTTCCTCAGTGACGCTGATCCGAACCCCCACGAATGGAACTCCTCCAAAGGAAAGGAACAAAAAAGACCTGGTACACACATGGACCTGCTATTTATACCCTTTGCTTGCTATCCTCATGTGACTCTTTGGGTAGCCAACCAGAGGTCCGGTGTCATACAAAGGAGGGAGGTACAAAGTAAGGAGGACACGTGTTCGAACGGACGACAAACACAAAGAAAACCCGATACAGTGTGACATACTAAAACTTACACTAAGTACAAAGAATATTAACTATACAAATAATATTCACATATATTACTAACAACAACCAATAAGTGGCGGAGCACTACAACAGTTTGCTATGTAGCAAAAATTTTCTTGTTTATGACAGTTTTTTGGGGGCTGTCCATAAATTACATAAAGCAGATATGGATGTTTTACAGAAATAAAAATGAATCATTTTGTTAAATAAAGGTTGAGATCCTAGTATTATGTATTGCTTTTACAAACCATCTCAATTTCCTTGTAACATATTGTAATAATTACCTGCACATCCATCCATCCATATCTGCTTTATGTAATTTATGGACAGCCCCAAAAAACTGTCATAAACAAGAACATTTTTTATTGATAGTAAAAGTAAAAACCAACTATAAACTTTAAAAAATGCAGTTTTGAGCTTCAATGCTTATTAAGGACAATAGTAAAAATAATTTGTTTTTTATGAGTGCCCCTGATGCTGAGCATTGAAGCTTGAAAGATCTTGTGCATTTTTAAAATATATATTAGATTTTTAGCATTTATCATTTATCTGATGAAAAATAAATACAGTGGAACCTCAGTATACGACCTTAATCCGTTCCTGGTGTTTGGACTTATACCGAATAGGACGTATACCAAACCAACCTTTTCCATAAGAAGTAATGTAAAAATGATTAATCCGTTNACAGATCTGATGACAGAAGAACACCAAGAACTCTTGAATGAACATCAAGAAACTCGGCGAGATATGTTTTCTTCTGAAAAAGAGGATTAATGCCAATATCTGTTATTAAAGATCCTTTGAAGAAGTGGGAGGATGTCAGAACAATGGTCTTAGAATGGCATCCAAACCACGTTGAGGCTTGGGGATCTCTACAATTACAATGCTATTAATTACTTACGAAAAATCCTGAAGAAGTGAGAAAAACAATCGACATTAGACAGATTCTTTAACCCCTTCAAACGGAAAAAACATGACTAATAAAAACACAAGACTGTGTATGTATATATTTTTATTATTACATATAAATAAACATACTAAAAAAGTATATATTTTTTATTTTTGGGAGTCACCAGAACGAATTAATTAAATTCCCATTAAAACCTATGGTAAATCAATAATTGGTTAACAAAGTCTTGGAATGGATTATGTTCGTTAACCAATCACACACTGTATATATATTCCATCCAATATATATGTATATTGGATGGAATATAAAGGGAAAAGAAGAGAAGGACAGGGAGAGGTGTAGTACACGATAATGCTAATTGTTCATAGATGGCAAGTATAATTGAATTAAGTCGTATACCGAATAAAAGTCATATACCAAGCAAAATTTGTTTCGTCCAAACAGGACGTATTCCGAATTGGACGTATTCTAAAGCAGACGTATACCGAGGTTCCACTGTAGTTTCATTCAAATTTATATTATGATAAAGTTATATACTAAAAATAAGATGTTATTG